TTCCCCGACCCGGGTCTTTCTCAGAATTGATCCCGGTGATGTTGGTCCTGGGTTTGCCTGCTGGGCGAGGAAACCACACCCTGTGGTGTGAGTTCATGGAGAAGCAGGTTGATGTCGCCAGAACCTGTCGAGGTGGGCACTGGCGGAAGTGAGTTGGAGGCGGAAGAACACACCACACGCACCAGGGAGCCTTTGCCCTACAGAGCTCACTGTTTGCTAAGCAAACACACAACTTCCCAGTTTTGAGCAGGCATTTTCCTCTGAGCTTTACGTTTGCCACGAGCTTGTTTCTAGATACCAATGCTTGATCTGAGGCATGACTTAAAGTTTAAAAATGTGTTTCTTTACAATGGAACAAGCATTTACGAAAGCACATACTAGTGTTTGTACTAAAAACACTACTTTTTTTTTTTTAAGATTTTATTTTTAAGTAATCTCCATACCCAACATGGGGCTTGAACTTACGATGCTGAGATCAAGCGTCGAACGCTCCACTGACAGCCAGCCTGTTTTTGTTTAGTCTTTACAATCACCTGTGTGGCAGGTGATAGCAGCTTCGTAGAGGGACCCTAAGGAGGCTCAGAGAAAGCCAGGGACTTGCTCCGGGACACACATTCCATGTCTGTTTGCTCCAGACCGCGAGCTCCTGTCCCTGATTGTGAGAGCACGGCAGGTGCTGCACCCCCACTCCCTCTCACACATGCACAGAAATTAATTTCTGAACACCATAGACCACGATCCAAAATCAGAAAGTGTGACGGGAACGCGGTTGGAGTCTCCTGCCAGCCTTCTCACAGTAGGAGAAACCTCAGATACACGTTTCACGTGTCCACCAGCATGTGGGTAAATACACCCCCTTCCCAACCCAGGCGGCGGCCCTCTGCTCTTCCCCTTAACTGAGGGCTCCGACTGTCTCCTAACCAAAGACAGCCCCTCCGTTTTGGTGGCTGTCCAGTGGCCCCTTATGTGGACATCTCATATCCTTAGGGGATCTTCGCTGGTCCAGGGACTGACTGTTAGGAAGGCGCTGGGCACCTGAGCAGACCTGCTGAATCAAGGCTTGTACTTGTATTTATTTATCTATTTATTAAAATGTTTTCAATGTTTATTTTTGAGAGCAACAGAATGCAAGTGGAGGAAGGGCAGAGAGGAAGGGAGACACAGAATCCAAAGCAGGCTCCAGACACGGGGCTCAACTCCTGAACCTCCACATCATGACCTGAGCCGAAGTCGGACACTCAACCCGTTGAGCCACCCAGATGCCCCAATTATTATTTTTTATTTTGAGAGAGAGAGCATGTGAGTGGGAGAGGGCAGAGAGAGAGATTCATCTTAAGCAGGTTTCACGCTCAGCTCCAAACCCGATGAGGGGCTCAGTCCCACGACCCCGGGATCGTGACCTGAGCCAAAACCAAGAGTCAGCTGCTCAACTGACTGAGCCACACAAGCGCCTCAGGGGTGTAGTTTGGGGAGATGTTGCAGGTAGCCTTCGGATTGTTGCCCTTTCCCACCAGCGCTGAGTGTGGGCCCTGCAAGGGGCTCGGTCTACCCACCATGCTACATGGGGTACTGAGGGCCCAGCCTGAGATCTGGAAAAGCAGGAGCCCCCTGCTTGAACTTGGACCCTGCCCTTTGTAGAGTCTGCATTCATTGTCCGTAATTCAGAACCTGGGGGGGGGGGGGCAGCCTGGGGGTGCCTAGTGTAGCTGACGCTTTGGCTGGCCTCCCCCCGACCTCCACATGTGTGCGGCCTCCTTCTGGGGGAATCATCTCTTCCATGGCCACCCCCCGTCCTGACCCCAAACCTAAAGAGAGTCACAGGCAGGATGCCCTTGGTCTGGACCTGGCCAGGAGGTCCTGGAGGTCACAGTGATGCCGTGCACACCCTCACGGGATAGTGTGCCCTCGGAAGTGTCTGCATCTCTTACCTCACCTGTTCTCTGAGGTGACCCTGTGGGTTCGGTTGGGCAGGAATCGTCTCCATCTGTAGGTAAGGAAATGAGGTCAGAGAGGCAAGGCCCTCAATGGCATAACCATAGGTAGGAGTCTGGGCTGAACCACTCTCCTCCTTCCCAAGCTCCCACCTGGGGGGGGGGGGGGCGGGGGCGAGGCTGTGCTGCCACTCGGCCCACCTGCTGGGCGGGGGAACACTCTGTCCGGGAACTCCGGCCGCAGAGTCCTCCCAGACTTCTCTCCTCCAGATCGTCTTTCATCTTCTACTATGACACACGGTCGTTTCCAAGAAAACTCCCTAGCGTTTCGATTTCTCCTCGATTGTCACTTTATACACAAGAAATCGCAGTGACTTTTCTTGCGCGCATCTCGGTGAGGGTGCCTTTCCGTGCAGGGAGAGGGAAGCGCCCGGCAGAGGGGCACCGCCCTGGCCGCTGTGGCGCACACGCTGCGCGTCCTGGGGGCAGCCCCACCTCATCCTGACGCTGCTGGGCCTGCTGAGAGCGCTCCGGTCCCAGCCGCCTCCATTGCTTCTGTCTGGGTCTCTGCTTTCCCTCCAAGACAGTTTTTTTAATGTTTATTATTATTATTATTATTTTTTAATGTTTTATTTATTTCTAGGAGAGAGAGAGAGAGAGACAGCGTGAGCAGGGGAGGGTCAGAGAGAGAGGGAGTCACAGACTGAAACAGGCTCCAGGCTCCGAGCTGGCAGTCAGCACAGAGCCCGACGCGGGGCTCGAACCCACAAACCGCGAGATCATGACCCAAGGGAAAGTCGGACGCTTAACCGACTAAGCCACCCAGGCGCCCCTAATGTTTATTATTTTTGAGACGGGCCAGGAGGGGCAGGAAGAGAAGGAGACAGAATCCCAAGCAGGCTCCATGCTCTGTCAGCACAGCCCAGTGTGGGGCTCGAACCCACGAATTGTGAGATCATGACCTGAGGCAAAACCAAGAGTCAGATGCGTAACTGACCGAGCCCGCCAGGGGCCCCAAAACAGTTTTTAAAATAAGTAAAAGGTGGGGCACCTTGGGAGCTCAGTCAGTTAGATTTCTGACTTCAGCTCAGGTCGTGATCTCACGGTTGGTGAGTTCGAGCCCCACGTTGGGCTCTGTGCTGACAGCTCAGAGCCTGGAGCTGCTTCGGATTCTGTGTCTCCCTCTCTGCTCCTCCCCTGCTCACACTCTCTCTCTCTCTCTCAAAAATAAATAAATATTAATAAAATAAAATAAGCAAAAGGTGGTTTGCACAATGCTATGTGATCAGCTTGGTAACAAAATTACTTTTCTCCGTGAACTTATATTTGGGTGTTCTGGGTGGGCAGTGCTTGGCGGGGGGCGGGAGGGGGCTGTCATTTTTTAGCTGTGTGGTTTTGTGTAATTTTCTCAATCTGCCTGAGTCTCAGTTTCCTCATCTATAAGGAGAGAGTCAGGGCATTAACCTGCAAGATGTGACTGTGGATTGAAGCCGTAATACATCATTTCTTAGCTGCCCTGAACCTCCCAAGGAGACTGCTTTCTCATCAAAACCCAAAGACTCCCCAAGTCCTTACAACTTAAAATACAAGTAGATTACTGAACACTTATTTTTGTTAACATATGGACAATTTAAACCAGGACGTAGACATTAGAATTATTCCAACGAGAAGGCTCCCCAGTGACCAGAGGGCTGCATGGTGTTCAGTCTGTAAAGGGCACTGAAGGGCTGGCTGACCCCTCCCCTTCTTGGCCCTCAGGAGAACTCAGGGCCCTGGCCTCTTCCAGGGAGCACCTTTGTTCTGAGTCTGATTCCTTCTACTTTCCATTGCCTCCATCCAGTCCCAGCTACAAACGGACATTGAGCTCCGAAACACAGGCCACAGTCTACTGCTCGCTGCTTACTTTGAACTCCATTGATGCTGGAGTGGATTGTTTTCCATTATTTTAATGGATCAGCTCAACACAGACTCTTTATCTTTGGCAATCTTCCTAGTTCTTAATGGCATTTTGAAAATATTTGAGGAGTTAGCAGGTTCACTTAGCAGAGAATTTTATGGTTTATGGTTTTTTGTTTTGTTTTGTTTTTTATACCCTATCTGATTCCAAAAAGAATTCAAGGCAATTCAAGTTCATCCCTTAGCGCAGATTCTGCCTGCATGCTTAGTGCAAGGAAGCGTGCAGAAATAGGTGGGTTTTCTCTGTTTCACCCAGCCTGGCATCCTGAGGGACCCAGGGGGTGGTCTGGAGAGCAGCTGGAGCAGATTCTGGGGTCCCTTGGCCTGGCCTTACCTGGCCCCCGACGCCCCCCCCCCCCCAATACTAGTTCTGACAACTTCTGGGCAGTGAGCTCACCGTTCTGGACCTCTGATTCCTCATCTGTGAAATGGGTAACAGAAGCACCTACTTCCTGGGGTGTGTACGGATCACAATGAGTGAGCATTTGTGAACATGTTAATTCAGTGCCTTGTGTTAGTAATAAACAAAATACACAGTGCGGAAGTTTTAGCACCTGGGCTTCAACCCAGAAACTCTGATTCTCTGATGGAGGCACGGACAGTCTGGGGCCAAATCCCTAAATCTACAGGTAGTGGCCAGATGCTGACTTCCCCAGCTCAGCTCTTAGGAGCCCCAGAGCAAAATCTGTTTTCTCCCTCGAGCCTGGGTTTCTCATCCTACTCTGCTGTGATCTGGGGGCACGAAGCTTCCGATGTGAGGCCTTTCCTATGGAGGAGGGGACTTAACTCATTCCCTCCTGACTCCGGACTCACACCTCCCTAGGGGACCCTGTTGGCTGCTCCTCCACTGAGTGGTCACTTTGGGGTGTGACTGCGGTGTGGGGTGTGGGCCGGGGGTGGATCACTCTCCGGCCCCTGCACCTGGGTGTCCAGGCCCAAAGATGGGTCTTCAGTGTCTATTCAAATGAGTGGCGGCTTGGCCTGCTGAAGCTTTCTGCTGTTCCAGTGAGTTTGGAGGATGCGCGTAGCTTCCTGAGGGGAAGGTGGTGGGTGACCTGTTGGGTCCTGGGGGTACGGAGGCGCGTCTTGACTGCCTGTTCTCTCCTTTTGCAGAGTCCACAACGATGGTGTTGTCACCGGCCAGCTCAGAAGCCCAGGTACCTTTAAATCAGTTTTTAAGTTTACTTGATACACATTAAAACTAACATGTGTCGTATAATGTAGATTAGAAAGCGTATAAAGTTACATGATTGTTTCCATGAGGTAGGACACAGACAAAATATTCAAAGACCTTAATTGGAGGGACTTGATGAAGAGAGTGAACAGGCGAGGACGGAGAGCCCGAGGGTGATGCAGAGCCCGAGGGCCTGAGGGTGGTGCAGAGCCCAGAGGGTGGTGCAGAGCCCGGCGCCAGGGAAGCCAGAGGGGGAGGGGCAGCGATGAGCCCTCATCCCCCACGCCTCTTCCGCCCCCGGGCTCCTAGCTGTGCCTCCCACTGCGCAGGGGGAGGGAGCAAAGGTGAGGTGGCCTGTAGGGTGTCAGCCGGAGCGGGTCTGGGGGGCAGACAGGGCAACCAGCCCAGCGGCCAGTGTCCAGGAGCCTCCACCCGACCCAGAACTCAGGTCCCATCAAGAGACTTCTCTCTGTGTCTCCCTGTCCCACCCACCTGCCGCCAGAGTCCATCCTGAATGTGATGTTTATCATTCCACTGCCTTTAAGAAAGTTTTATGCAAATATGTATTTATATATTAAACACAGTGTTAAGGGTGTTTTAGGGCTGGGAGGGGGGTGGTCACAGGCCAGAAGAGGCTACATATTCTGTTGTGGAGAATTTAAAAAGATTAGTAAAATCATCCCAGAGTTTTCCTCTTTTTTTTTTAATTACCACATGCTCACAATTTTTTTAGTGTTTATTTTGAGAGAGAGAGAGAGCGAGCACTCGAGGTAAGATGGGCAGAGAGAGAACCCCAAGCGGGCTCCACACTGTCAGTGCAGAGCCTGATGCAGGGCTCGATCTCACGGTTCCATGGAATCATGACCTGAGCTGAAGTCAGGAGTCAGACACTTAACCGACTGAGCCACCCAGACGCCCCCAGATGCTGGCAGTTCTTAATAATGTCAGTGATAAGGGCGCCTGCTTGGCTCAGAGGTTAAGTGTCTGACTCCAGCTCAGATCATGATCTCACCGTTCGGTTCGTGAGTCAGGCTCTGCTGTGAGCCCAGAGCCTGCTTCTGATCCTCTGTGTCTCCCTCTCTCTCTGCCCCTCCCCTACTTGTTCTCTGTCTCTCTCAGAATGAATAAATAAATAAGTAAATAAATAAATAAACTTTTTTAAAAAGTCTTTAAAAAAAGTGTCAGTGATAAGATGCCCTTCCCAGCAGCGTACTGCCCGCCTGCGGTCATCTGGCGCTCAGTGGTGTTGTCACTGTATGTTGCTTTCTGTAATTTGCTTTGGAAAAAAACAACAATGTGTTTTCAAACGCCTCTCCATTCCCGGCAGGGCTGCCTGCCCTCCCTTTCACCACTGGATGTGTTCTGGATACTTTGTTTATCCGCAGCCGGGGACGCGCCCCTACCTTTCAGATGGTGCTCCCAGGGCTGCCCGTCTGCACAGAGTCCCCAGGTGCGTGTGTATCCACCACCTACCTTTCCAAAGGAGACCTGTTATCAATTTTGAAAGTATTTGCAAGGTAGATACACACAAACTGTATGTGGGGGTCGGATCTGGGTGGTTGTGCCTGGGGGCCCGGAAGTGAACCGTGAGAGCCCCACCCCAGCCCCACGTGTGCCAACGCAGATTCCCACTGCTGGCGTCCAGGTACGGCCGCTCCTTCCCTCTCTGCAGCCCCTTCAGTTCGGATCCTGTAACTGGCCAGGGAGGGCTTGAGGTTCTGAGACTGGCCGGCTGCCCAGATTTTTCCTTATGGGAAAGTAAGGGCTCTTTGCCTTTCAGGGAAAGTTTCCAGTGTCTGGGCTGGGGCACAGAGAAGCTTTTAACAGCGCGGCTATCAGATAAGAGGCTCATGTTGGAGTTAACCCTTTAAGTCTAGGCCAGCTACGAGAGGAAAGAGGCAGAGGCAAGGCTGGCTTGGGGTGCTGCACCGCCTGGGGCAGGGGCTTTCCTATCGGCCCCTCTCTCTGCCCTGTGGTAGAGCAGCCTCCACTGCAGAGACCAGTGCGGAGCCACCCTGGGCTCAGCGGCGCCTCTAGAGCAACGTGGGTTGTGAACCTCCCCCCATCGGCCCCCCCCACCAAGCACCTGCCTCTGGGCCAAGGAGGGATCAGGCCCCTGGGGGCTCTGCCTAGCCCTACCTCGTGCCCTCTAACTCATGATTTTGGGGTGGTGACTAAAGAGGTGGGTCTGTGACCCCCGCCTGCCTAAAGCGGAGATAGGACAGCCCCCAAGTGTAGACTGGGGTCTTGTCGACAATAGGCTGGAACTTTGCTCCATCGGAGCCTTGTTCTTCCTAACAGGTCCACCCCTCCCCCACACTGGCCCCTCTGGCTCAGCGTGTTTTCAGGGCACTTTTGCAGGACGCAGAAGGCTGCCCACCGTTGGCTTCCGCATGTCCTCCGTCAGCTCTGCTCAGGCTGCCCCCACCCCTGGGCTCCTGGTGGTGGTAACGCAGGGAGCGAGAGGAGACACCACAGGGCCCCCCACACCCTCCAGCCACGTGGACTTGGGGGAGAAGGTGAGGGCGTGGCTCCACCTGCCACAGAGGCCTCCCATCTTGGCATAAGGCTTAGAGCACAGGCTGCCAGGGGACCCCGAGTCCCAAGTCCAGCTTTTCCACTGCCAGAAGTGCCCTGAGGTCCAGTGCCTCCGTCCATCTGTCTTGTGCGTGGAGTTGTCCCCCGTAGTAAGTAACAAAGGGCTCAGTAGTTAATGACATGAGAAGAGCTACTGTCATTTTGTATCAGTGTCATAAACGGGACTGTGGAAATAAGAAAGGCACGCAAAGCGGAGGCAGGGTCCATGCACGTGCCCTCATCCTCTGTGCTCGGCAGCCTGCGTGCGAGCAGGTCCCGGCGTTCTGGGGCTGCGTCCCTGTGAGCAGGGAGTGTCGGGTGCAGGTGGTATTTGAACAGAGAAATGAGAGATGCTTGCAGATGGGCCTCCAGAGAACACAGATTCCCCAGTTCTTAATGGAAGTCCGTGAAAATAGGGTTTCCTGCTGAGTGAAACTGAGAAACGCTGAATGAAGAGGTCTCTCTGTTGCAAGGCTCACAGATGTTTAATGTGCTGATACACTTTTAAAAGAATTAATTATGGAGAATTTCAAGCACATATAAAGTAAACAATAGCATCATGGGCCCACCCATGCCTGGCTGGGCTCCCGCAGTGACTGACACTTGCTTTGGGCATAGCTTGACCCTCTCCCCTCCCTCACTCAGATACCCAGAGGTTTGGTTTTTTTTTTCTTTTTTTTCTTTTTCAGATGTATGTAAATTTACATACATTGAAATTTCTATGGAGTTTAAATTTTTAAGTGAGAGGATGTCATTTTTCATGAGTTCAAGTGTCTATACTTTATAATTTGTAGTTAACTATTCTAGCAGCATTTAAGTATGCTAGTTTTTCTCCTCTGATTTAAAATATATTGATATATTACATTAAAAGCTAATATTTAATTAGGTTGTCTATTCATTCATTTGTTTATTTAAATATTTACTTTTGAGAGAGAGAGGGAGCACACAAGGGGAGGGCAGCGAAGGGGGGAGAGAGAGGACTCCAAGCAGGCCCTGCGCTGTCCGCATAGAGCCTGACGCGGGGCTCAAACTCACGAACCGCAAGTCATGACCGGAGCCCAAATCCCGAGTTGGATGATTAACCGACTGAGCGACCCCGGTGCCCCAGATTGTCTCTTTTTTTAAATCACGTTGACTGGGGTGTACTTTATATTCAGTGAGCTTGATTAGTTCTGGCAAATACAGCGCACGTCGTGCAGCCCGACCCGTCGCCCCAGAAGTTGCTATGCTCCTTCCGGTCCCCACCTCAGCCCCCAGGTGACCTGCTTTCTGTGGCTCTAAATCAGCCTTGCCTCCTCTTAGCGAGGAAACTTCGGCCCCTCTGCTCTGTGTTGACCGTGGGTGTGAGATGAGCGCTTGCAGTGTGAGCCCTCGCGTGGCGGCCTGGGGTCCCGCTGTAAGGCCGGGCAGCGTGCGCACCGCCTGCTGGTTAGACATGGGGACACCCCAGGTGCGGCTGCTGGGGCCTCTAGGACCAGCCTGTGTGGACGGCTCTTTCCATCTTCCTGCCTGGAAACCCTGGGAGAGGGTGGCCCTCGCCTCACGTGGCGAGAGCGTATTTGATTTTAGGAACTTCCCACGGGGGCTGTGCTGTTTGGGGAGCGACCGGGCCACGTGTGACGTGCTAGGTCTTCTCCTAGGACGTGGCCTCTGGACCGGCAGCGGCTGAGGCCGTCTCGCTGTTAGAAGCGCCGGTGCCCTGCCTTGGGGAGGTCGCCCTGTGATTCCTGCGGCTGCTCTCCCTCCCCCAGCACGTCCTTCGCGCGTCCCAGCCCCCGACCCCGTGACGCTCTGGGCCTGTCCTGCAGATGGTGCAGTCACTCGGCTTTGCCATTTACCGCGCGCTGGACTGGGGTCTGGACGACAGCGAGGAGCGCGAGCTGAGCCCACAGCTGGAGCGGCTCATCGACCTCATGGCCAACAACGACTGTGAGGACGGCGGCTGCGGGGCTGCGGACGAAGGCTACGGGGGCCCGGAGGAGGAAGAGGAGGCCGAGGGCGGCCCCCGGGCCGTGCGCACCTTCGCCCAGGCCATGCGGCTGTGTGCGGCGCGCCTGACGGACCCCCAGGGCGCCCAGGCCCACTACCAGGCCGTGTGCCGGGCGCTGTTCGTGGAGACGCTGGAGCTGCGGGCCTTCCTCGCCAGGGTCCGGGAGGCCAAGGAGGTGACCGAGAGGGCGTGTGCTGAGGGGGTGCTGAGGCTGCGGGGGGGCTTCCTGAAGGCGGGGGGGGGGGGGGGGGGGGGGGGGGGGGGGG